CTCATGTAGAGAGAACTGGGCCAACTTGGAGAAGTGTATCCAACTCGTCGGAAGAAGAATCCCTTTCACCCTTGGAGAAGAAAGCCAAAGTCAAGTTGCACATGTCTGACACGGTGCAATCGAGCGAAGAAGACGAAACCGCCGCTGCCGTGGAGTTGGCTAATTCTGTAATGCCGAAGCTAGACCTTGTTCTGCAGAAGTTAGACAACATGGAAAAGAAATTGGACATCCTTGAGGGTTTTGTGAAAGTGGTCGATGGAAAGGTTAACAAGTTACAGGATAAAGCTGAGCAGTTTGAAAGCTTCAGCAGGGACGCCACAACAAAACTGAAGGTGTTAGATGAAGGAATGTCGTTCGCAAATACAGAGATAGAAAATTTAAAGAAGAAAGTAAAGCTTCTGGAACAAACTATCCAAGAAAATACAGTAAACACCGAAAACAAATTCAAGGGAAAGATCGAGGCCTTAAGAAACGAGAAGTTGTATATGGAGGTGTATCAAAGACGGGAAAACCTTCGCTTCTACGGCATTGCTGAATCTTTCCACCTCTCAGAAGAAAATGTCAAAGAGGTGTTAATTGGCTTTATACAGAAGGAACTTAACATCAGCGAGGCGGATTCTTTTGAGTATCAACGAGTGCACCGCATTGGCAAGCGCGACCCATCGCAAGAAAAACCAAGACCAATAATCGCACGTTTTTTGCGATACTCCGACAGAGAGCGAGTCATGTCAAGTGCAAGAAAGCTGAAAGGAACTGGTTTCGGAATATCGCCAGACCTTCCGAAAGAAATTGTGGACCGCAGAAAGGAATTAATGCCTAAGTTCAAAAAAGCAAAAGAAGACGGAAAATCGGCGTTCTTCAAAAGATCAGAGCCGGACAAACTTTTTATTGAGGGTATACGAATCTTCTAATTTCTTTGGAACATAAACTCTCTATCTAGGTATTCATAACATGTAAGCCTCATTCACACTTGTTCTTAAAAATGGAGCTGCATGCGTGTCATCTAGTTAGCGCAATGCGTGCAAGACCTATTCCATTAGTAGCGCAATTAACAGCTTTTATCGCTGGCTACTGTTTTACATACATGTTCAATTGTAGTTGTAGGTGTTATAAATGTTTTTCTTTTGTTTCTTTTTCCTTTTCAATATTAATTAGTTTTACCTTTTTTTTGTTCAAGAGACATGCAAATTTTTTCATTAGCTCATCTACTAAAGATTACTATCTCATTCTCTGCAACTGCTCGCCTTTTCACTTAAATATGTCCTT